GGATAGACATATAGACCCAACTGAATAGAATTGAGACACTAGAAATAAACCCGTACATCTACGGCCAATTGATTTTCCACAAGGATGCCAAGACCATTCAATGGGGGGAGGAATCGTCTCTAACAAATGGTGCTGGGACAACTGGATCTCTACGTGCAAAAGAATGAAGTTAGACCCCTCCCTCATGCCATATAAAAAAAAATAAGTCAAAATGGATCAGTGGTCTAAATATAGTAGCTAAAACCATAAACCTCTTAGACGAAGACGTAGAGGTAAATCTTCAGGACCTTGGATTTGGGAATGGATTCTAAGATATAATGCCAAAAGCGTGAACAACAAAATGAAAAAAAAAAAAAGATAAGGCAGAATTTATCAGAATTAAAAATTTTTGTGCATCAAAGAACATTATCAAGAAAGTGAAAAGGCAACCTACGGAATGGATAAAATATGTGCTTATCATATACTTCGTTTAAGAGTTTAGTATGCAGAATATGTAAAGAACTCTTAGAACACAATGACAAAAAGACAACCCAATTAAAAAACGATGGGCAGAGGGCTTGAACAGACATTTCTTCAAAGAAAATACACAAATGGCCAACAAGCAAAGAAAAAGATGCTCAGCATCATTAGTTTTTGAGGAAATACAAATGAAAACCACTATGAGATACCACTTCATACTTACTGTTGTTCTTGTTAGGTGCCGTCGAGCCAGTTCCAACTCATAGTGACCCTATAGGACAGAGCAGAACTGCCCCATAGGGTGTCTAAAGAGTGGCTGGTGGATTTGAACTGCTGACCTTTTGGTTAGCAGCTGAGCTCTTAACCACTGAGCCACTAAGATGGCTATAATCAAATAATTGGAAAATAACAAGTGTTGGTGAAGATGTGGAGAAAGTGGAACCCTTGTACTTACTGTGGTAATGTAAAATGGTTAAATTCTGTAGAAAAAGTTTGATAGTTTCTTACAAAGTTCAACATAGAACTATTGTATGACCTAGCAATTTTACTCCTAGGTATATACCCAAAATAATTGAAAACCGGTATTCAAACAAATATGAGTATGTGGATGTTCACAGCAGCACTATTCACAATAGCTAAAAGGTGGAAATAACCCGAATGTCCATCAGTGGATGAATGGCTAAACAAAGTGTTGCAGATCCATACCTAAACCAAAACAAAAAAACCCATTGACGTTCAGTCAATTCTGACTCATAGCGACCCTATAAGACAGAGTAGAACTGCCTCATAAGGTTTCCAAGGAGCAGCTGGTGGATTCAAACTGCTGACTTTTTGGTTAGCAGCCCAGCTCTTAACCACTGCACCACCAGGGCTCTGTATACCCATACAGTGGAACATTATTCAGTCATAAGCGGGCCTGACATTCTGACACACGATACAGCATGGATAAACCTTACAAACATTAGGGGAAGTGAAAGAAGCTAGACACAAAAGGTCACATATTGAACGATTCCATTTATATGAAATATCCAGAATAAGTACATCCATAGAGACAGGAAGCAGATTGATAGCTTTCGGGGGCTGAAGAAGGAGCCCTGGTAGTGCAATGGTTAAGCGCTCAGCTGCTAACCAAAAGGTTGGCAGTTTGAACCCACCCAATGGCTCTGTGGAAGAAAGGCTTGAAGATCTGCTTCTGTAAAGACTACAGCCAAGGAAACTCTTTGGGTCAGTTCTACTCTGTCACATGGAGTCACTACGAGTGGGAATTGACTTGATGGCACCCAAAAACAACAGGGACTGAAGGGAGGGATGGAGGAATGGGAAGTAACTGCTTAATAAGTACCGGTTTCCTTTTGAGGTGATGAAAATATTTTGGAACTAGACCAAGGTGGTGGTTGCACAGCATTGTGGTTGTATTAAATGCCACTGAATTACTTCCTCTAAAATGTTAATTTTGTCATGTGAATCACACTCAATTCAAAAAAACTGGACTTAAAAAAATACACATATAGGCTAAGTAGCACATATAAAATTTACATTGGGGTGCTGATGGGACATCTCAAATTGCTGGGCAGTCATTTTTCGAAGTAGCTGAAACAGGACAAAGATGGTTGGTCAAGGATATGTCATGGGTTGAGGTGCATCAGACAGAGGGTTTTCAGCTGAGCTCTGAATCTGGGTCCCCAAAGGGCAGATGCTGAATGGCAGTATTGATATACATGAAAGCTACCTCTTACAGGACAATCTCCATGTACCCTGAGTAGGGATCTACGTTCCAGTAAGAATTTCTCTGTCAGTTATTAATAATTCTTATGGACAACACAGAATGGGCTTGTTAGAAGCCTGTATAGAGTATTTAGTGGAGAGCTTGGAACATAATTAGGTCTCTGGTGAACATTTACAATCCCCACTCACCCTCATCCCTGTCATCCACCTCGCCTACCAAGAGCAGAAAGGGAAGTCATTCCTATGCATCGTTTTGTGTGAGTCATACTTATTCATAGTGACCAGTTATTTCTATGGATAAAGATCTGCCCAGCAGCAACGGTAGCCTAATATTTCAGAGACACTGGGATATTTCTGGGGGAAGCAGAAATCACTCGTTACAGAGTCAGTAGTTTTCTCTCACAAACATCAGAATGTTCTACTCTATTTTGGTTTGCCTGGATGCTCCTAAAATCTGCGAAGCGTTGTCAAATACTTTGGTCAAGAATCAAAACGGTGTATTTCTCGGTTTGGAACACTCTTTTTAGTTTGGGCAACTCCAAATTGAAATAACATGCTTCTTCTTGTAGATAATTACAAAATATTTGATATTGTATATCTAAGTATTTTCTAGGGGTCCCTAAGTAGTACAAAGGGTTAAGCGCTGGTCTCCTAACTGAAAGCTTGGCGATTCAAACCCATCCAGAGGCGCCTCAGAAGACAGGTCTGGAGAGCAGATCACAGCCTTGAAACCCTATGGAGCAGTTCTCCTCTGAGCACACAGGTGCCACCAAGAGTTGGCAGACGTACAACAACAAAGTATCTTCCAGGCTGAAGAGATAAAGTACTTTCATACTCTCAAGATGCAGTTTCACTCCTGATTTTGATGTAGTACCATGAAAAGGCAGCCAGGTGGGGAACATTTTAAATAGTTTGTTTTAGGTTTTTCACTTAAAATAACAACTTGTTCTTTAAAGTTGGCACCTTGAACTTACTATTAAAAGAGTTTTTTTTTTTTGTTATTGTTGTTTAAGCAGCAACTAATGGAATGGCAGGCTCTCTTCTGCATTAGAGTAAAAGAAAACCAAAATGAAACAAAAATACTTGCCAAATATATAGCCAGTTTTCCAAATACCCACATAGGTGATAATTTTAAAGTATATTTTCCATTGGAAATCCTGAAGGGACCGTTTAAAAATACAAACACCTTCATTTGAATATGCCTGGTGGCAGAATGGCCATGAGTCGAAAATCGACTTAACGGGACCTAACAACAACGATCTGGCGAATGCTTTTGTCTTCTACCCTTGTAAGGGACATCACAACCACTTAGCAGGTCTGAAGCTTTACATCTGCCACGGGTAACCCTCTCCGACCATCTGCCTGGGTGCCTGCTGTTGTTAGCTGCCACTGAGTCTGCCTGACTCATGGCGACCCCATGCACGACGGGCCTGCACAATGCGCGACGGTCCCGTGGCGACCCCACGCACGACGGGCCTGCACAACGCGCGACGGTCCCGTGGCGACCCCACGCACAACGGGCCTGCACAATGCGCGACGGTCCCATGGCGACCCCACGCACAACGGGCCTGCACAATGCGCGACGGTCCCATGGCGACCCCATGCACAATGGGCCTGTGCCATTCCCATGATCAGTTGCCCTTGGATTGGACCATTATGATCCACAGGGTTTTCGCTGACTGATTTTCAGAAGTAGAGCACTGGGCCTTTCTTCCTAGTTCAACTGGAAGCGCTGCTGAAATCTGTTCTGCATCATAGCAACACTCAAGCCTCCACCGACTGACAGGTGGTGACTGCACAGTGAGGGGCACTGGCTGGGAATTGAACCTTGGTCTCCGGCATGGAAGGTGAGAATTCTACCACTGAGCCACCACTGCCCCACCTCGACCCGCAGAGGAGAGAATTTGTGCCAAACCTGGCAAAACAAAGACCGTTTCCGCCCAAAAGGCCAGTAGCACCTTTCTCGATAAATACCGTGAGCCTCCAAGAGCTGAAGGAGCTTCTGTGACTCCCTCCATCCTCCACAGCACCTCTCAGGAGAGGAGGGAGAGGAGGGTTATTGATGGGAAAGGAGGGACCCACCTCACCCTCTCTTTTTTGAACCTTTGCCCTCAGCTCCGTTGCTCAGCTTTTGTTCTCTCCTTGGTCCACCTGGCCAGGACCTCTGCATAGAATACCGCACACCAGTCTGCCTCTCTCTTGTAGCCTGAGGTCTAAGTCATTTTGTCTAATCAGGCTCTACCAGAGACCTGTATTATGGATTAGTGGGCACTTTCTTATCTGGTGGAGTCCCTGGGTAGTGCAAAAGGTTAACACACTCAGCTACTAACCGCAAGGTTGGAGGTTCAAGTCCACCCAGAGGCTCCTCAGAAGATGGGCTTGGCCATGTACTTCCAAAAAAATCAGCCACTGAAAACACTACGGAGCACAGTTCTACTCTGACACACATAGGGTCCCCATGAGTCTGCGTCTGCTCGATGGCAATGCCTTTGGGCTTGCCTGTTAACGATATTTTGTTCCCCACTTGGCCATTGATTTTCATATCTGTTATCAGTCAGGAGCATGAAGAAGGGGGCTGAGTAGTGGGATAGATTTTTATTTCTAATTTTATAGAATACTGACAAATACTTCCAAAATTACTATATTTAATTGTTTATCTTGTTGTTAAAAAGAAACAAAGACAAAAACAATCTCCCATTTGAACCCCAGGGTTTGGTCTTTTTTCCAGTTACCAGCTGCGGTCTGTATGAATGTACAGGCGATTGGGCTAATTATCAATCTGTCTCAACACAAAACGGAGGAAAACTATGACATCGTTTTAAATGCTTCTTTTATTTCATTGGTTGCACTGTTGGGTGAGTGAACTGAATATTACAACCAAAACATAGAATTGATACAAATTAGACTCCTGTTTACACTGTAAGGTAATGAATGAGGGAATTCTTTAAGTGTTACAGAAAGATTTAGTAGAAATGTTACCAGTGGTATGGCTGAAAGAATGTTTTGGTGAAGTGCTGTTATATCCTGAAAACCAAGAGTGAAATGTAGTTCCCGTACAAGTGGCGATTTAGTCTCTTAACTACAGTATTTGTTGAATTGATATCTTCGTGTCTTGGATATTGGTGATTTTTTTTGTAATTAAACAAAGCATTTAAGATTTATTCATCATAGTCAGACTTCTGAATATAAACAAACTTTTGGCAAATAATATTTATACAGAAAAATAGTTTTAGATCCTCTCAAATCCCAGAATTATTCTATAAAATTACATTATAAATAAATAAAAAGCAAAATCTGTTGTACATATATTTGTACATCTATGTATTTGCCTTGCCTCCTCCTTATTGTAAATGGCATATTTATGACTCTTTGCATATTGTAATCACAATTCTGGAAAATGGATATCATAGTAAAAATACAGTCTTCTACATCTGCTTGGGGATACAGGTGATGTTTTCGATGCATCCACTATTAAAGGGCTGAAAACAGTTGTGTGATAATAATTTTTAAAGTAAAAATCACGAAACGAAAAAAAGAAAAGACAATGTTACAACCATTAGTCTACAAAAATATTTCAGTGATTCCCATAATTTACCTTTTAGTAATGTATACTATGTTTTCAAGGAGTTTAAATGAATAGTTATTAACAAAGAAAACAAGAAAAAAGAAAATAAGTTTGAATGCTTTAGGCAAGTTGTAGCGTAACTACATTGTTATCGTTGAGAAAATTACAAATATCAATAACACATAAAGAAGAAACTACCAAAGTAACACAGGTTAGATACAATACTCTTCCACAAATTAAACCTAACGCAACGGTACAAGCACTATGTAGGATTACACCCAGAATGTGATTTTCTTTTGATAGGGTGATCAAGTCTACGACATAAGATAAATAGATAGTAATTCGACTTCGATCAACATGAATTAAAATGGCAGATTTCTTTTTTTTCTCAAACAAAGAATGATATGGTTGGTGCATTGAGTTTTCAGAACAGGCAGTGATGCCAAAATTTAAACTATGTTACATTCAATCTCAAAAGTCAAAATACTTCAATCACTAATATGTTTACAAAGAAAATGGATGTTTTAAACAATTACACATAATGTTCATTTATAACAACCGTTTTGCTTTTTAAACAATAATTTAAAAACTATGCAGGGACTGTATAGGTTATGTGCAACGTATAAAATGTGAAATGTGAAATATTTGGTACGATAGTGCTTAAAATAAACTTTAAAACAAACCTTCTGAACAAAACTTAATTGTATCGCTATTACCTTGAAGATCAACCAAGTATTTAAAAAAGTAAACAACATTAAAATATGCTTCATCCATATATAGTATATATATGTATGTGTATATATAATATGTATGTACTTGTATTAAAGTTTTTTATACTTTTGAGACATAAAATATGCTTTAAGGTGAAAGAATTAAAAGAACTATTTTTTTTCCATGCTGTAGTCAGTTACAACCCTTTAATCCAACTTTTGAAATGCAAAACAGTAATGGATTTTTTTTTTTTAAAGTGAAACTATCTACTTTTTGCTTACATAGCAATTTAGATTAAAGTCACAGTCAAATTTTCAGTGACTAAACTCAGACTTACTTAAATTAGAATATTATACAGATCTCCTCACCTACAGCTTCCTTGTTGGACTAGGTTTTAGTTTAGAAGAGTTATTCTGTAGCAGGCAACCCGACGGTGAGTTCGAAAGACTAATCCCTTAGAGCAGGCTGTTGGTATGGGCCTCTCGTTCTTGTCAAGCTGGATGAAGTCTGGCAAAATCTAGGCACTTCTACAAAGTCTTTCTTATAAAACAACTTTAAAAATATACTTGTAAAATAATACCTTCAAGACTTTGTTGGGTGGGGTATGAAGCTCATACCGTGCAAAGTTTTGTTTTCAATCTATTTAATGTTACTCTAGAATCACACGATTCAACGAGGCATCTCCAGGCAAACCAAATACCACACTTTGATGTGTCCCTCGTCCTTGTGCTTGAATTTCCATTCAGATTTTAGACCTGTAGGACAGGTTCTCGCTTTTACTTCACTTCTTGTCTTTGCTGCTGCATTCATCTTGTCAAGAAGTGAAACGCACCCTTCCATCAGTGGGGAAGCGAAATGACAGTAACCTGAAGTTAGAATTGGAATCGTCCTTGGAATAGGTGTTTTAACTAATGCTAACTGCTTATTGCTAAATTGGAGATAATCTGAGTCGAAATGAGTAAATTGGTGGGACTCTCAGCATCAGCTATAGTTATGGAGATAAGACAATATTCCTAGGACAGAAACTATGTTTAGAAACCCTTTAAAAGTAAACTTTACCCTTTATGTCTTTAAACATCACAGCTGGTATCAGGTCGTTAACTATCTTAGGTTGGAATATACTAAGCATACCATATTTAATACTCATATATGATATAGCAGCACTAGCTTCTTAGAGTTTGTGGTCTGTCCAGAAGAACTAAATCTTTATTTAGCATGCAGTTTGTGGCAATTCTATTGAGGAGGAAACGGGATAGTATGTACAGTAACAATGTTTCGTTATTCTCAATGCAGATTCTTGGCATTCCATTCCGTTCCTGTTGATTACTTCAGAATTATCTGTTAGAGAAAAAGACAAACATGATTTAGACATTCTTCTGTGAGGGAAAATAACGAGTTTAAGTTTTACTCCTTGAAAATAGATACTTAAAAATAGGGATTTTCTTTAGTTTCTCCGAGTTTTGATGCAATCTAATTTTGCACAAAACCCCCACCCTTCATGCCGCAAATTTGCACACTTAAACACGTCTGAGAATGATGGTTCAAATGCACAGTCCTTTCTGTAAATCTGTGACAGCATATATGTGGGCATACAGTGTGTTCAGACCCCAATCTCTTTCTTGTTTTCGTTTCCTCTCTTTTTATTGTATGTTTCACATTCTCATCCAATTAACATTTGCGAAGGTGATCAGGAAGTCTAATCACATAACTAGTTCACACTTGAAAAGTTGCTTGTTAACGCTGTTTGTAAAGCATTGAAAAATAAAGCAGTATTACTTATCTAGGAACTTGAATTCATAATTCAGAGATGTCTTCCCATCAAAAATCATTTTGTCCCCAAGATAAAATAACAGTTTCAAATTCAGGAAATGTTTGTCTCATGTTAGAAGGGGAAAAAAGGATAATATTCTCATAAGGCATTTAGAGCACTTTTAATAAACCCAAAGGGCAGAGAAAGCTAAACTATCAAATGTGGTTCCTGAAATCTGATCTCTTTGTTCATTTCCAACTCCAGGAAAGGAGAGGGAGTTGGCCCTGTGCGACTCAGCCTGTTAAATGTCAAGCTTAAATGCCAAATTTTAAACACATTCTAACAATCGTATTTATTCTTTGAGCAACGCTTTGACCAAACTTTGTATAATTAATGAATAAAACATTTATTTATTAAACAATTATGAATATTTGTTTTGGAATAACAGGTAAAAATTCTTAATGACGAACTTCAGCTAATATTCCTGCAGACTGGGAATTCAGTGACCCAATAAAAGCCTTACTTCTACAAGTGTAATTTATTATCCCATTAAGTTAGAGTTTATACAGGTGGATGTTTTTCTCCTTAAGTGACTGGTCCCGTAGTTTTCAAGAAATAGTTTTAATACACTCAAATAGTTTCTCCCATGAAATAAATGAGTGTTTTTTAGTTTACTGAACCATACAGACGAGTATAGGATTGCTAACCTGATAAAAATAAAAGAAAGAACTCATTCATATTAAATATTCATACTAACTCGGAGCTTCCTTTCACAGGAATTTAAAATTAATTGGGAAAAATACCATTCCTTATCCCACGACTGATAGGCATGAATAAAATAATAATATGCTCTAATTATTTTATATATAAATATTATCATAGTATCTTTGAATAAGTAATATACAAATTCTCTAGATGATTAGATTATAACTTCAGCTTTAGATTTAGATATTTTATCATTAAGTGGAAATTATCCTGTTTCATCTCTTAGCTTCAATGCTATCTTTGTTTCCCACATAGAATGTGCTCCAGGACATCAAACCATGTCCTATTTTTCTTTTACTTTAGCAAGAATCTCTCTAAAATATTTAAGGAAAAGTATGTTGCAATTCCTTAAGTTGATACATAATAATATGTATTTCAGAATATATTTACATTCTTGCTTATTAACTGAAACTAAAATGCCATAGAGAATGAAATTCCTACTCACTTGGAAAGAAAAGCATTCTACAGACAGCGCGGTGTAGAGAAATTAGGATGGGCAGTATATATTCTAGAAATCTGTTAAACTATGATTTTGGACTGATACTTGGCAAAGAAACATGCAATACCACCCACGTTTAACTAGACTGGACATCAGCCTTGACGTTAGCTAAAAGCGGGAACTGGACTCACCCAGAGTTTTTCCCCTCTGCCCTAGCTTCCCCATTACCCATTATAGGGATAAAGACATAAATAAAAATGATGTCTGGGGCTACTGCATTCTCAGCTGCTCCAGCTGCCCGGCATCTGGGACGGAAAACAGTCTGGCCATACCCTGGTCTACGTCTTTGGTGATCTTGTGGACTACAGATGAGGTATAAAACATGAATTATGTTCTTAGCAGCTGTGAACTCTAAGAGGCTCCAGACATCTGTCTTAGAAGGTAGGAAAGCTTTGGGTGTTTCTCCTCATAAGCTCCATTTCTGGTGGCAGCATTTTTCTTGAAAATACCTCGATTATTAATTTTTTTTCTCTGAGAAACACAGCTTGCTGGTACAGTCTGAATCAAGTGTACTCAGGGGTGAGATACGTCCTGGAAGTACAGGTGGGATGGGAATCCAAAGAACAGCTAGCAGCTCGGCGTCAATCTTGTTTAACGACTGCCCATTTGATGCCGCTTCTCTTAGGAGACATATGGCATTACGGGCCCCAGGTCCCCAGGGAGGTAGGGCAGCTCCCAGCAGGAAGATTCCCCCCCAGAACACTGCTGGAGGGAAGTGGAGAGCTGAGAGTGTGTCTGGGTTGGGAGGGGGCAGAGGGTGCTTTGGGGGAAAGAAGGATCTTCGGTCTGGTTCGTATGTGGGTCTTCTTTAGTCAGATTATATTTTTACTTAAGACTGAAGCAGCATAATTTAGGATATACTGTGCCGCTTAATGAGACCAACAGGTATCTTGTGTGTTACCCTACTGTCGCCGCCCCTCAGAGATCTTCTTCCATACAATTACAGACGAACAGATAACACATGCTACCCACAGATCAATTCTTCCATCTTCATTTGTAATTTTTATGGCCAGGAGGATCAAACGCTTTCAGAGAGTGCCTGAATGCTTCAATAGAGGTATCAAACGTGCATTCCTAAAAGAACGGTCTTATACGTGGACTTGGACCTGCTACAGATCTGCTAGTGCCAAACCCTAACTCTGAACTTCTCCATTAAAAAAAAAAAAAAAAGATGAATTAAAACATAGTCCCCAAAAGTGCCAGTGGTGTGTTTGCTGTTCTGCCCTTGGTCAAAATTGAGGCTGTTACGGAAAGTTCCTTACTCAACCTCTGAGGCGCTGCAACCCCTGCTTTCTTGGAAGGGACAAAAAACTCTCATCGGATTTGTTAGAATATATACGTCAGAGAAATAGCTACCACAATGGGTTGCCTAAAAGGCCCCTCTCTAAAGTTTTTTTTTTTTTTAATTTATTATATACTAGCCAAAAGGTCGGAAACCCTGGTGGCTTAGTGGTTAAGAGCTATGGCTGCTAACCAAAGGGTCTGCAGATCAAATCCACCAGGTGCTCCTTGGAAACTCTATGGGGCAGTTCTACTCTGTCCTATAGGGTTGCTATGAGTCAGAATCGACTCGATGGCAATGGGTTTTTAGCCAAAAGGTTGGTGGTTCAAACCCATCAAATGGCTCTGTGGAAGAAAGATCTAGCTATCTGCCCCCATAAAGATTAACCCAAAACCAAACTTGTTATCATCGAGTTGATTCTGACCCATAGCAACCCTACAGGACAGAGTAGAACTGCCCCATAGGGTTTCCGAGGCTGTAAATCTTTACAGAAGCAGACTGCCACATCTTTCTCTGGTGGAGTGGCCTGGTGAATTTAAACTGCAGCCGAGGGCATAACCACCAAGCAACCACGGTTCAGCCCAGAAAACCCTACGGGGAAGTTCTACTCTGTCACATGGGATCACTAGGAGTCAGAATCAACTTGATGGCACCTAACAACGATAACAACCACAGCTGCAGTCAAGCTGATTCTGACTCATAGCAACCCCATGTGTGTCGGAGTAGAACTGTGCTCCGTAAGGGTTTTCAACAGCTGATTTTTCGGAAGTAGATCGCCAGGCCTTTCTTCCGAGGTGCCTCTGGGTGGAGTCGAACCTCCAACCTCTCAGTTAGCAGCCAAACACGTTGTCTCTACCACCCAGGGACTCTAGATAACATTATATGCTCCCGTGATTTCAGAGGACATTCTGAGAAATGTTTTACTAGAGTCTTGTGATCAAAGCCAGTATTGCTAGTCACACTGTGCAGAGATGAAAAATACAGCACAGACAGTTTTAACCAGTTTGCACTGTGTACCGAGTACAGCAAAAGCCCACGTGAGCTTAGAGGCGTTAGCTCATCCTTCTCCCAGGCACAGATTCCCTCCAGAACATGGTGCCGTTCTGAGATGGGGACAGGGGAGGCAGGGAGTCCAAAAAGCATGCCTGCACCTCTTACGGTGCCAGCTGAGGAAGTGGCCAGAAGAACCCCCCGACACTGGGAACCGGGGAAAGGGTGAAGCCTAGAACAAATGGAGCCTGGGCACCAGGTGGGAGAAAGCGGGACAGTCTGCAGGAGCCGGATGGGCACAAATTGCTGAGGAACTCGCGGGGCTCCGAGGCCTCCCTTCAGGGCGTCAGGGCCTGCGTGGCCAACCACATCCTGCCTTACGCCTCCTCCCGATGGGGGCTGCAAACGGTCCCTTTACAGCAACTGAACACCCTACTCAACCACAGTTCCACTGCTTCACCTTCTGACAAACTTTGGTAAACTGTACCGTACTTTTTGCAAGTAAAGCACTCACACACATAACATGCGGCATAGCGCACTTATGAAAATAGCATGGGGGAGTTGCGCGGTTGGCAAACAAAAGTGTAATGTGCATTATTTGTGTAAAAGTACAGTAATGATAGGAAAGAAATCAAATATATTGAACAAGATATGTTTCTATCTATCTCCTTGACAGATTATTCCCTCATGTAAGTATTATTTTTCCTAATAGAAAACCATGACAGAAGAAGGGGGGTTAAATTATTAAAATAAGATTGTAGCCAATCTAATACAGTAAATCACCATTCTGAACTGAAAGTATTATTTTTCGATTCCTTTTTGTTCACTAGGAAGAGAACACCCAAAAATGAGAAGAGCTGATGCCCATGAAGTCTGTGATTCTATTTTTAAAACAAAGACACACTTAACCGCACATCATGAGTATTTCCCTAAATCTTCTGTGGACTTTCTAGTTGTATCAAGAGTATCTGTGATGCAGAAATACCACTTGGCTGTAACAGAGTCTACTTATCAGTAAACAAAGGAGATCGTAATAAGTGAATTAAACTATC